AGGATGGCTCAGCCACAAGGAGGAAAACACTTGCTACTATATAACGCAACAGACTGTTTTGCATATTAGAGAAGCAAGGAGGGATACCAGGTGAAGTAATGTAGTGGGTCGAGGGATACCTGACGAACGGAAAACGGAAAGAGAGAGTAAGGGCAAATGTTTCAAGATGGGAAAGTGTAAGAAGGGGGGTTCCTCAAGGGGTAGTACTAGGACCACTGTATTCTGAATGTAGGATTATGATCTGATAGAGAGAACGTAATGATGTACATCAATGTTTGATAATGGTGGAAAACTAATGAGAGAAATACACAAGGAAGAGGATAGAGGCTACAGGTAGACCTGAGGCTAGAGAAAGAGGCTACAGGTAGACCTGAGGCTAGAGAAAGAGGCTACAGGTAGACCTGAGACTAGAGAAAGAGGCTACAGGTAGACCTGAGGCTAGAGAAAGAGGCTACAGGTAGACCTGTGGCTAGAGAAAGAGGCTACAGGTAGACCTGAGGCAAGAGAGAGAGACTACAGCTGTTTACATAACAAGATTAAAAAATATCAAGTGTGTTGCGAGGAATATTATTATTATTATTATTATTATTATTATTATTATTATTATTATTATTATTATTATTATTATTATTATTATTATTATTATTATTACTGGGGAAACGTAAAACAGTATGGGTTACACTGTGTGTGGTGAGAGGAAGGTAATCTTATGTTATCTTCGGTAGAGAGAGTGACTCCAGTACCCTGAAGAATACAGACTGTAATGGACGTGTTAAACGACAACATTTAGTAAGAGGCTGTCATTAAACAGTGGCACCAGCGTGTTGTTATTTTAAGGGAGTATGTTTACTTTGGTATGGTCCTGTAGATATTTCTCTTAGGGGATGCTTGAGTTCCCCTGCCTCAGGCATGTTTATTTTTCTGCCTATGATCTACCTTGTACATAAATAACAAAAAGTCACAATACCGTGACTGGAACGATACACAAATAACCCGCACATAAAAGAGAGAAGCTTACGACGACGTTTCGGTCCGACTTGGACCATTGACAAAGTCACACTAACAGAGGTGGAGCAGGACGGCTATATATATACCTTGTACATAATTAGTATCGTATTTACTTTGGTTTGGTAAGGTGAAGTCCAGGATCTCTCCTTAATTCATGGTATAACTTAACAAATCTATGAAGATAGTTGTGTTGCAGAGGTGTGAGCAGTCCTCTACAACACAATTATCTTCAAAGATTTGTTGAAAAGCCTCTGATTGGCGAAATGTCTTAGTAGTAAAGTTACCCAGGTGTTTTACATGTGTTTTATTTATCAGGCAATTTATTACCACGCTTCTTCACCAAAAATGGAGGTCTCGTGATGAGCTCGATTGGTAGCTCAATTAGCTCACATACTGGGGCTTGTGGTTCGATTCCCAGTACGGGTGGAAACATTAGGATGTGTTAGCTTAAGACATCTGATGTCCAAGTTCACCTGGGTGTTAGTGGACTGGTGTGGGTCGCATCCTGGGACAAAACTGACCTAATTTGTGGGAAATGCTCAGCATAACAAGTGACTTTCTATATAGTAGTATGTCATTGATGTCAGCTATGGTCTGTATACCTTGTACATGTAGAAATATATATTATGTATTCATTTATTTATTTATTTATTTATTTAATATAAGACGGTCGTTGATCTGAAGGAACAACTTCAGATAATACGACAAATCACTGGGAACTTAAAGAAAGTGAAAAGGATAAAAATTATAGGTTTATACGATAGTGACTAAGATTTACTCCTTGAACCCATTAGACAGTGAGGGGTGCAGGAACCTGCCCATGGATACGCCCTGAAACCTGTTTTTGCCGGACTTTTGAGAGGGTTCCATATCTCCAAATAATACTTCCTATTCTGCCCTGTGGACATGACATCAAATAAAAATATACTTCTATTAATAAATAACTAACCCTTAAAGGCCATGTTCCTCCAGAGCGACACCTGAACCAGATACTCTGGAGGAAGCCAGTCCTATGTAGAACCACTGACATGTTCCCTCAGATGCGACACCTGAACCAGATACTCTGGAGGAAGCCAGTCGTATACAGAACCACTGACATGTTCCCTCAGATGCGACACCTGAACCAGATACTCTGGAGGAAGCCAGTCGTATACAGAACCATTGACATGTTCCCTCAGATGCGACACCTGAACCAGATACTCTGGAGGAAGCCAGTCCTATGTAGAACCACTGACATGTTCCCCCAGATGCAACACCTGAACCAGATACTCTGGAGGAAGCCAGTCCTATGTAGAACCACTGACATGTTCCCCCAGATGCGACACCTGAACCAGATACTCTGGAGGAAGCCAGTCCTATGTAGAACCACTGACATGCTCCTAGTTCCTTCAAAATACTGAGCACGTAATGACTGTCACCAGCTGCACACAGACACAAGATATCTTGGCACTGCTTCATAAGTACGATGAATTGTGTTTTGACGTTCTTAAATTATGCATTATAGGTGTGCATGATGCCGTTGTAGATGTTAAGCCTATTAAATTGTCTCCCTATGAGAAGCAGCATTGTGCCAGCTGTGACACTGCAGCAGCCATTGTGGCAGGTGTGATACTGCAGCAGCATCATTGTGACAGCTGTGACACTGTAGCAACAACATTGTGCCAGCTACGACATTGACACATCAGACAAACTCAAAAGTGATGTGGTAGGAAGTACATTTTTGTGGTATAAAAGCGATTTTTCGAGCACTCTTTCAGACCCTGGCTGTGCCCCTGCGTCCTGGTCAATAAACCAGATGATGGCATGAGAATGTGTGCTGACTACAGACAGGTGAATTAGACAACTCTGTCTGATGCCTCTCTTATCATGCATACATTTAGTATGGATAGCATATGACAGACTTGGTGGGGAGTACCAGGCACACAAACTCAGTTTTCTTAAGGTATATTATCAGCTCTTCCTAAGAGGCAAAGTGAAAGTAATCTCCGCTATTTTTGTTCCATGAAGCCACTACCGGTATTGCGGGAACTCTGTTTGGTATACAAAATGCACCAGCCACATTCAACAGTCTAACTTCTCCCCTTGTTGCTTGATCATTATGACTGTTGTGAGCGATGCTTATTGCAGAAACCAGAGTGGCAAGCCTGCAATGCAGGTACTGCAACATGACACATGTACAATCCGTGGATAGCTTCGAAACCACCAACCGGTGGCTTTTTCAGTTCGATACGAAGAACACAAACAACTGGAGACAGTACATGAGGTACTCAGTCCCCCAGTCTTGATATAATAATAATAATATAATAATAATAATAATAATAATAATAATAATAATAATAATAATAATAATAATAATAACAATAAATTTATATTTCGAAGTAAACAGATAATGTAATTTACATGTAAAAAATATTGCAGGAAAGAAGGCAATATTTGGGAGTCAAACTCATCACCAGCGATGGATCTACTGTGAAACTAATGAACCTTAAGCTTAAGGGCCCCTGATCCCGGAGGGGCCCCGGAAGCCACTATGGTCCACATTGTTTAATAATGCTGGGTCTACTGTATGAGAAGCGGTTGCAAAGGGGCCCCAATAGCAGTTCAAGCTTCAGGGCCCCAAAAATGTATATCCGCCAGGTGTTCATGGCCACCAAATCCTAAAGAAATAACAGGTGAAAATGTCAAAGTTGTTGAAAATACCAACTCCATAGACCAGACTCCAAAAATGGAGTGAACAAGCAGTGGGTTCGTTAGAGGAAGTCGCTGATACCACAAGATACTAAGCCGAGCAGCGTTTTTCATTTCCTGTGATGTCAAGTTGCATTTAGCACCAGACTCCAGTGTGGGGGTGTTAATGCTGGCTAGGGGCTCCTGATCCAAGGGATTAACGTTGTCTTTCCCTGTCTTGGATCTAATTTTAATTTTAAATATTTCATTATTTTTGAGGATAAAATAAGACAGGAGAGGTAGATCACAGGGGGTCAGCGCCCCCGGGACCAGGTCACAAGGGGTCAGTGCCCCCAGGACCAGGTCACAAGGGGTCAGCGCCCCCGGGACCAGGTCACAGGGGTCAGCTCCCCCGGGACCAGGTCACAAGGGGCCAGCTCCCCCGGGACCAGGTCACAAGGGGCCAGTTCCCCTGGGACCAGGTCACAAGGGGTCAACTCCCCTGGGACCAGGTCACAAGGGGTCAGCGCCCCCGGGACCAGGTCACAGGGGTCAGCTCCCCCGGGACCAGGTCACAGGGGGTCAGCTCCCCCGGGACCAGGTCACAAGGGGTCAGCGCCCCCGGGACCAGGTCACAAGGGGCCAGCTCCCCCGGGACCAGGTCACAAGGGGCCAGCTCTCCCGGGACCAGGTCACAAGGGGGTCAGCTTCCCCGGGACCAGGTCACAAGGGGGTCAGCTCCCCCGGGACCAGGTCACAGGGGGTCAGCTCCCCCGGGACCAGGTCACAAGGGGCCAGCTCCCCCGGGACCAGGTCACAAGGGGGTCAGCTCCCCCGGGACCAGGTCACAAGGGGGTCAGCTCCCCCGGGACCAGGTCACAAGGGGCCAGCTCCCCCGGGACCAGGTCACAGGGGTCAGCGCCCCCGGGACCAGGTCACAAGGGGCCAGCTCCCCCGGGACCAGGTCACAAGGGGCCAGCTCTCCCGGGACCAGGTCACAAGGGGGTCAGCTCTCCCGGGACCAGGTCACAAGGGGGTCAGCTCTCCCGGGACCAGGTCACAAGGGGGTCAGCTCCCCCGGGACCAGGTCACAAGGGGTCAGCTCCCCCGGGACCAGGTCCCAGACCAGACCTTGGGGAGAGACACGGGCTTGAACCATTCAACGACTTTCATCAAGGGGTAAAAATGGCTCTTCATCCAAGGTATGAGAGCTACCCACCCCGGGATAATATCCTGACGGTCTGCCACTCCCCCGAGAACATCATTCATCCGGGTTTAGCGCCTTGAACCAATCAAGAAGCATATATAATATTATGTATACTTACTAGGAACGGCGGTGACGGCTGCTAATAGTAATAAGAGAGAGAGAGAGAGTATGTACTTCATCTTCAGCGTGTCTGTGGTGACTCCTCTCCCTTGGATTACGTTTCTCTTATCTATACTTTCCCATAAATGCCAAGTCTCCCCACGACGCGCAATTATAAACACAATATATTATCTGTTATACCATTTTTTTCCTTATTTTCACGTCATTTGTAAAGTTTTTACTGTTTGTTTTCGTGTTCCTTAGAAAAACTGCGAAGATATCTTAGGGTATAATTAGAAAATAATAATGAAAGTTAAAAAATATGTTCATATTTGAGGCCATTATGACGTCATAAACGGTTCAGCCAATGAACATTCTTCAATACCATGACGAGTCCAATTTTTATGACGTCATAAACCAAGCAACGAATGAAAACTCTTAAATATTATGACGTTACATGTACCTATGACGTCATGAGCCATCCAACAAATGGAGATCTTTGTTTTCCTATGACGTCATGAACCAAACAACCAATGAGAATCTGTTTATTCTATGACGTCACTCATTCGCTTTCTAATATTTGTTGATAAGCGACCTTTTTTTCCCTCAGATTTCTATTTTACCATATTAAGGCTAATTTAAGTCCTCCGAACCACCTATATATATTATAAAAGTCTTATGAGCCTCTTGGTAACGTCAACATCACCATTGACATCTGTTTTATTATGTATATTACGATGAAATGTGAAAATTTTGGGTCACGTGAATTCTTTTTCACTTTAGACCGCAGAGTAACAAAAAATATTTAAGTAATACACTCGTTTTATTATACAAACGGAATTTTGCGTCTTTTAATGTAGCATGATCGACAAATTATTATAGTTATTATATTATTATTATTATTATTCTTTTAATTATTATATTAAATATTATTATTATTATTTTATTATTATTAATTCAATATTTATATTATTATTATCATTAACTATTATTATTATATTATTATTATTATTATTATTATTATTATTATTATTATTATTATTATTATTTAAATTATTATTATTATTATTATTATTTTATTATTATTAATTTCAATAATTTATATTATTATTATCATTAACTATTATTATTATTATTATATTATTATTATTATTATTTATTATTATTATTTATTGTTATTATTATTATTATTATTATTATTATTATTATTATTATTATTATTATTATTTTTATTATTATTATTATTATTATTATTATTATTATTATTATTTAATTATTATTATTATTAGTAGTATCATTATTATTAATTTTATTATTAATTATTATTATTATCATTATTATTATTATTATTATAAGTTCCTGAAGTCAGTTTCTGATCAGCAGAGCTGTTATTACATGTATTGCTGGCACCGACAGCCTGGTTGATCAGGGTATCAACGACAAAAGCTTGGTCTGACACCGAGGGGAAGGGGCATCGACCCCCGCCATCTGTAGTAGGCTCTTTGTAGGCCTATTTGTTTTGCCTAGGATGTCTATTGTCCTTGTGTCTTTGTTTTGCTTGTGTGTTTGTTTGTTTGTTGTTTGTTTGTTGTTTGTATGATCGTTGTGTTTATGTGCTTGGTGTATATACACTGAGAGATACATCTCTGTGTATATACACTGAGAGATACATCTCTGTGTATATACACTGAGACATACACATATCTCTGTGTATATACACTGAGAGATACATCTCTGTGTATATACACTGAGAGATACATCTCTGTGTATATACACTGAGACATACATCTCTGTGTATATACACTGAGACATACACATATCTCTGTGTATATACACTGAGAGATACATCTCTGTGTATATACACTGAGAGATACATCTCTGTGTATATACACTGAGACATACACATATCTCTGTGTATATACACTGAGAGATACATCTCTGTGTATATACACTGAGAGATACATCTCTGTGTATATACACTGAGACATACACATATCTCTGTGTATATACACTGAGAGATACATCTCTGTGTATATACACTGAGAGATACATCTCTGTGTATATACACTGAGAGATACATCTCTATGTATATACATTGAGAGATTCAAACATCTATGTGTATATACTCTGAGAAATACACTCTTCTCTATGTATATACATTGAGAGATACATCTCTGTGTATATACACTGAGAGATACATCTCTGTGTATATACACTGAGAGATACATCTCTGTGTATATACACTGAGAGATACATCTCTGTGTATATACACTGAGAGATACATCTCTGTGTATATACACTGAGAGATACATCTCTGTGTATATACACTGAGAGAAACATCTCTGTGTATATACACTGAGAGATACATCTCTATGTATATACATTGAGAGATTCAAACATCTATGTGTATATACTCTGAGAAATACACTCTTCTCTGCGTATATACACTGAGAGATACATCTCTGTGTATATACACTGAGAGAAACATCTCTGTGTATATACATTGAGAGATACATCTCTGTGTATATACATTGAGAGATACATCTCTGTGTATATACACTGAGACATACACATATCTCTGTGTATATACACTGAGAGATACATCTCTGTGTATATACACTGAGAGGTATGATTCTTTCAGTGTATATTCAAACCTTACTGAAAGCTTCTCAGAACGTTCGGTCATACTGGCAAGACTGTAAGGACATGTATTGTACTCTGTGGATAATTTACGTATGTTAACAACTAGCTAATTGTACGGAAGAGTCCTCGTGTATTGTGTGGTTAGGAAGCGACATTCTGTACCTTATATAAATATCCGGCTTACCAAGGACCTTGCCTGAGATTAAGGAGTCAAGGTTTTGAGTTATTGCTGGTATTTTGTAATAAGATATTTACTGACTGGGATAGAATTACGTCCCGACTTAGATACTAAGGCTACAAGCACCTACACTCAAGGTTTGTGTACTAGGGGGTGTGTATCTGTGTGTGTATATACACCGAGAGGTGTGTATCTGTGTGTGTATATACACCGAGAGGTGTGTATCTGTGTGTGTATATACACCGAGAGGTGTGTATCTATTAGTGTGTACACACAGACGTGTGTGTCTCTCAGTGTATACACACAGAGAGGTGTGTATCTATCAGTGTATACACACAGAGAGGTGTATATCTCTCAGTGTATACACACAGAGAGGTGTGTATCTCTCAGTGTATACACACAGAGAGGTGTGTATCTATCAGTGTATACACACAGAGAGGTGTGTATCTCTCAGTGTATACACACAGAGAGGTGTATATCTCTCAGTGTATACACACAGAGAGGTGTGTATCTCTCAGTGTATACACACAGAGAGGTGTGTATCTATCAGTGTATACATGAATGGTATACAGTACAGACAAGATGAAAATTAAGACATATGTGTAACATCTGGGTATCTTTATAGTAGACGTTTCGCCATCCAGTGGCTTTATCAAAATAAATTCAAAGACATGAATGGAAGACAGTAGAACTATATACAAAAGATGAATTAAACAGTCCCTCAGCCTTGGAGTTGGTGTGAAGAAGACCGTGGTCGTGAAGATTCTTTAAGAGTGTATATACACTGAGATATGTGTATCTATCAATGTATATATACCGAGAGGCGTGGAATCAACAATTGCCGAGGCAATTCGTAGCCATCTTGAAAAGTATAAATTGATAAACGAGTCTCAGCATGGTTTTATAAAAGGGCGTTCATGCCCAGTGAATTTATTAACTTTTTTCACTAAGGTATTTGAGGAGGTAGATCATGGTAATGAATATGATATTGTGTATATGGACTTCAGTAAGGCTTTTGACAGGGTCCCACATCAGAGACTTTTGAGGAAAATTAAGGCACACGGAATAGGAGGAGAATTTTTTTCCTGGATAGAGGCATGGTTGACAAATAGGCAGCAGAGAGTTTGCATAAATGGGGAGAAATCAGAATGGGGAAGCGTCAAGAGCGGTGTTCCACAGGGGTCCGTGTTGGGCCCCCTGTTGTTCACGGTCTACATAAACGACATAGATGAGGGAATAAATAGCGACATAAGCAAGTTTGCCGATGACATCAAAATAGGCCATCGAATTCATTCTGACGAGGACATTAGAGCACTCCAGGAAGATTTGAATAGACTGATGCAGTGGTCGGAGAAGTGGCAGATGCAGTTTAATATAGACAAATGCAAAGTTCTAAATCTTGGACAGAAAAATAACCATGCCACATATAAACTAATGTAGATCTTAATAATACTGATTACGAAAAGGATTTGGGAGTTCTGGTAAGCATTAATCTAAAACCAAGACAACAGTGCATTAGCGTTCGCAATAAAGCTAACAGAATCCTTGGCTTCACATCAAGAAGCATAAATAATAGAAGTCCTCAGGTTGTTCTTCAACTCTGTATATCCTTGGTTAGGCTTCATTTAGACTATGCTGCACAGTTCTGGTCACTGTATGACAGAATGGATATAAATGCTCTGGAGAACGTACAAAGGAGGATGACAAAGTTGATCCCATGTATCAGAAATCTTCCCTACGAGGACAGACTGAGGCCCTGATTCTGCACTCTCTAGAAAGGCCTAGAATTAGGGATGATATGACTGAGGTGTATAAATGGAAAACAGGAATAAATAAAGGGGATGTACATAACGTACTAAAAATATCTAGCCAAGACAGGACTCGCAGCAATGGTTTCAAGTTGGAAAAAATCAGATTCAGGAAGGATATAGAAAAGCACTGGTTTGATAATAGAGTTGTGGTTGAGTGGAACAAACTCCTGAGTACAGTCATAGAGGCTAAAAACGTTGTGTAGTTTTAAAAATAGGTTGGATAAATACATGAGTGGGTGTGGGTGGGTGTGAGTTGGACCTGACTAGCTTGTGCTACTAGGTCAGATGATGTGATCCTTCCTTAAGTGAATGTGACCTGACCTAATTAGGTTAGGGCATCGGCTTAAGCCGGTAGGAGACTTGGACCTGCCTCGCATGGGCCAGTAGGCCTGCTGCAGTGTTCCTTCTTTCTTATGTTCTTATGTATCTGTCAGTGTATATACACTGAGAGGTGTGTTTCTCTTTAGTGTATACACCCTGAGAAACCTTGAAAGGTGA